CCTCCCCTGCAGCTCCCAGGCGCCACTTAGGCCGCGGCAGACCTTTCCTGCAGCTCCAACAAGTCCCTGAAGCCGTGGCAGTGTCCTTTTAAGGAGGTTCAAGGCTGCCGTTTGCCAGCCCGCAAAACTCCCCAAACCCTCCCCTGCAGCTCCCAGGCGCCACTCAGGCCGCGGCAGACCTTTCCTGCAGCTCCAACAAGTTCCTGAGGCCGTGGCAGTGTCCTTTTACGGAGGTTCCAGGCTGCCGTTTGCCAGCCCTCAAAACTCCCCAAACCCTCCCCTGGCATCTCCCAGGCCGCCACTTCGGCCGCTGCAGAAACCTTTCCTTCAGCTCTAACAAGTCCCTGAAGCCGTGGCAGCGTCTTTTTTATGGACGTCAAGGCTGCAGTTTGCTACCCTCCCTCAACACTCCACAAACCCTCCCCCGCAGCTCCCCAGTGCGCCCATTTAGGCCGCGGCAGACCTTTCCTGCAGCTCCAACAATTCCCTGAGCCGTGGCGTTTCCTTTAAAGAGGTTCAAGGCTGCCGTTTGCCAGCCTTCAAAACTCGCCAAAACTCCACAAACCCTCCCCTGCAGCTCCCAGGCGCCACTTAGGCCGCGGCAGACCTATCCTGCAGCTCCAACAAGTCCCTGAGGCCGTGGCAGTGTCCTTGTAAGGAGGTTCAAGGCTGCCGTTTGCCAGCCCTCAAAACTCCCCAAACCCTCCCCTGCAGCTCCCAGGGCCACCCAGGCCGCGGCAGACCTTTCCTGCAGCTCCAACAAGTCCCTGAGGCCGTGGCAGTGTCCTTTTAAGGAGGTTCAAGGCTGCCGTTTGCCAGCCCCAAAACTCCCAAACCCTCCCTGCAGCTCCAAGGACGCCACTCAGGCCGCGGCAACCTTTCGCAGCTCAACTAAGTCCCTGAGCCGTGGCAGTGTCCTTTTACGGAGGTCCCAGGCTGCCGTTTGCCAGCCTTCAAAACTCGGCAAAACTCCACAAACCCTCCCCTGCAGCTCCCAGGCGCCACTTAGGCCGCGGCAGACCTTTCCTGCAGCTCCAACAAGTCCCTGAGGCCGTGGCAGCGCCTTTTTATGGACGTTCAAGGCTGCCGTTTGCCAGCCCGCAAAACTCCCCAAACCCTTCCCTGCAGCTCCCAGGCGCCACTCAGGCCGCGGCAGACCTTTCCTGCAGCTCTAACAAGTCCCTGAGGCCGTGGCAGCGTCTTTTTATGGACGTTCAAGGCTGCCGTTTGCCAGCCCTCAAAACTCCCCAAACCCTCCCTGCAGCTCCCAGGCGCCACTCAGGCCGCGGCAGACCTTTCCTGCAGCTCCAACAAGTCCCTGAGGCCGTGGCAGTGTCCTTTTAAGGAGGTTCAAGGCTGTCCTCAAGGCTGCTCTCTCTCTCTCTCTACCGGACCACCCCCAATAGGGGGGTCGGCGGCACCAGGGCGCTAGCCCATTCTATACAAGGTCCTGCTGCTGGAGTTGCGATCATGTCTAACCTCATCTGTTACTGTTCCATAGCTACTGTTGCTTGTATCTGGTACATTGACCCCCTAGCCCCACACTGTTTGGGGTCTCTTGCCGGAACGTGCCCATACAATGACTCTGTCTGGGTTGGATGCTTGGAAAACCCACCAGCAGTGCCTGTGGTCTCACTTTGGGCGATCTGAATGGACGTGCCCCCGCCTCAGTCCAGGACGCAGGTGCAGGCATCCCCCAACTTGGATCATTCCACTTGGAGATGCCCCTACGGCCCTACTTCCCATCACCGTTGCCCAAAAAAATGACTTCTCCCCTTTCAGACAAATCATCGAATTGTTGGAATTCCCCCCATGCTTCTCAACTTAGAATCGTGGGGTTATCCAATGATATTCCATGATGTCCCCATATTTGGGTACCCTCATGTAAACTAACATAGATGTGGAAAACCCACCATGTGTAGATGATTGTCCAAGGAAACCCTTTGCTTTCCACATCTATGTTGGTTTATCGGTTTACCCCATGGTAGTTCTATACCCCCAAGAAAATGGTGTGGAAATCTCTCCCCAGTTTCGAAAAGAAACTGCCCTTGACCGGGCACCAGACAGCTCCATGGTGGATGGGACTCCTAGCTGGGTCCTGACAGAATAAAAGTTTGAAGCATGGCATGCAGCATGGATGTCCTCAAAAATGTGTGGATTATTGTTATTATATTACATCATTATCAGTATTATCATTGTTACTATTGTTATATAATATTGATAAAATCATTACTATTGATATGATTATTGATATTCTTAATATCAATATTATCTAAGAAATTACAAAGATATAAAAGCTTCTAATTGGGTTTCCAGAAAATCTGGAAATCCTGAAACATCTGAACACTTGGGGACTGAAAAAAGATTCAAATGGAATGCTGAGTTAGCCAGTTTCAGGCAAGAAATGCAACTCACCATCACTCTTCACTGACCTGCCTCCATGGGGCCTCCTTCATCGTGGCCAAACACCTGCCGAGCAACGCCAAAATCTGCATTGCTAAAGCATCCCCATTTCGCGCGTGAAAACTTACCAATTTGATAACAAGGGTCCGCATTTTCACCAGTGAAATCCATGTTTTTTCTAAAAATTCTTTGGTGAAATCCATGGTGAAATCCAGCCAACTTACTGGTGGATTCACGTAGGGAATGGGGTTTCATGATCAAATCCATAGCTATTCACCATCACTTATTCAACATCCCAGCAACCCCCAGCTTGTTTCTTGTCGCCTCTGCCATGCCAGGGCTGTGGAAGGGGGACAAAGCTGGATGGCCTGGCGAATGTGGTGTTTACCGCCATAAATGCCATAAACCACTTAAAACCACCATGGAAATCATCATTTTTATGGCTGGTATTCCAACCATTCCCAAATTCTAGGTGTTGTTTTTGGAGTTTACCACATTACCCAGATCTCAACAGACAGCGCTGTTGTCGAACATGTTGGCATAAACGTCTTTGGGGTGATGTTTGGTTTGGAAATCTGGCCCAGTTTCTCTCAGCAAACACAAAAAAAACGTGCACGGCTCGAAAGACCAGGTTTCTGTACTGGCAAGGCCCATGACAAAATTTTTCGGCCACCCCTGAGCCACCTCAGCGACCCACACCAGTGGAGTTTGTTCTGCCGCATTCAACACTTCATGTATATAGGGCCAAATGAGAAATTCAGAGACATGGCCTATCTTTTTAATTGGTTCGGTTAGATAACTTTCACTGAAAAAATCTAAAAAGAAATAGAAATAACTCACTAACATTCTCAACCAAGGTCGAAGTAAAGAAAAGCCAAAACACAACTGGATGATCAACTCCAATTAACCCAGTGGATGGATGGATGGATGGATGGATGGATGGATGGATGGATGGATGAAAAAGGTCAACATAAACACACGTGACACACGGGGATGAAGACTATCAGTTGTTCCCTTGTGTCAAACTGGTTGCAGGAGCGGTGCATAAGCTGTGGCAGGACGACGAAACTCCTTCCGACGATTCTCTTCCTGCTTGGCCTGTGAAAATGGTGGAATGTGTGGTGTCTGGCCATTCAACCGCAAACTGGGGCATGGGGGAATCCTGTTGTCTTTAAATAAACTCCTTACCAACAGCTTTCTCAACATCCCAGAACTAGTTTCCTCCTTCATCAGCCAATTCCTCCATAGAGTGGCTCCTTCAACGTTCATGAAATTTGGGTGAATCCACCCTCACCCCGGGTATTGTTCCTTCACCTATGAGAATTGCTTCCCCTCATTATTTCCCAGATGAATCATTCGGAACATCATCCATGGCTGCCATGGCCACAGCGCCAACGAAACGTTCAAGCCGCCCCAAGACCTCGGCCGTGACCCCCAAAGGCGTGTGAATCAAAGCGCTGTCCTTTGGTGTCTCGATCTTCTTCACACCACCTGCACGAAGGTTTCTGAAGGTTTCCCCAGGCGCCTTGTCTTGAAATGGAATATGTTTTACCAAATATAGGCCTATATAAAACCAGCAAAGTCATGAGTATATCATGGGGATGTGTGGGGTATAATTAATGAGATATGTATAATGGAATACAATGGGATACAACCGACAATGTGATATGTGTTTTTTCTAAAAATAGTGCATGTATTCCAATAATTTGCAATTTGGTGGGAAAAATTATGTGTTTTTTTTTACCATGGGATGGAATGGAGTCTATTTTCAGACACCCAACAGACCCCTTTATAGGAATCTTGGAGAACAAACTGCACTTCCTGCAGAAAACTGAGAGAAAGTCGCTTGGGCTGTGACACTCAGATTTAAATCTCACTGAAACTGAACATGAGAACACTCGACTTATGCCAGGAATAAATTGGTTGTTTCGTTTCTGTAAAGTGCCAATTTTGGGTTCCGCAACATGTTCATAAAAGAAAAAGAACATGGGGTACTGCATTCCCCGCCAGGCTGGTCAGCTCATGCAGCGTCACCAGCCTGCTTTCATGTGAAAGTGGGAAGGAAGACCAGCACTTCCTTCGTAAGCCTCGAAAGTGGAACCCAATCGGCAAAGCCATATGTCTGAGTTTCCGGTCTTCACTCAGTCGAGCAGTGTTCAAAACATGTGGCGCCCCTTTATGCTGGTCGGTTGACAGCGATTCCACTAATGATTGTGATAATCCTCAATGTATTGGTTAGTATAATGGAGGTTTGGAATTGGCGTTTTGAGGATGCCTTGTGACTGGACGACTGGACAATTCTTTTGGATGCTGGTGGATTAGTTCTACCGATTCGCTTGTGGCAAACTTAATAATCTTAATACAGGGAGACAAACAATTCACAACAATTCTACAAATGAGAGCATCAACTGCATCAACACTGAACTAAACATGCTTTTCAAGCCACCACAAAACTGGCAGACCTCAGTCTTTCCAGCGCTCTTTTCTGCTTCAGGTCCATTGGGGTTTGAAACATTTGAATTTTCTCTCTCAGCTGCGTGCTGATGACAACTTTGCAGCTTGAGGTGGCTCTGACTTCTTGTTCTATGAATCCTCTCAAAAAATCATACATTCACCTGTGAACAGTTGGTTCTACTGATCTTTTTCTATCTCTGTCTCCTGCAAACCACACATCAAATACATGAACATCAAGAGTGCCATTGTAGCCTTCAAACTGATATCAGTCACTGTGTAGAAGCGTTGGCATGCGTAGGAACTTGCAAAGCCCCAGTTTCCCATCAACCACACACTCGTATAGAAGACGAACACAGATTCCTTGATTATGATGCTGTAGCCTTTGACAGCAGGGATTCTCGTTGCCAATATGTGATCAGAAACAAAGCACACCTCATCGAACACCACGAGGATGTAGGCAAAGCACCCAAACACATTCAATGTCCAACCTATCCAGGGGTCAAGAACCACACAGCCCAAAAAGCATGTCCAACAGTATGTAGCAGAGGCCGCCATCTGCGGGCATAGTCGTGCTAGGACCTGAATGAAACGTTGATTGTCCACGATAGGGTACAGATTCATAAAAATCAGCATTGGGACAGCAACAAACCATCCAATCCAGCGAGTTGCGTAGATGGGACGATAGTCATGTGCCCGCTGATTTTGAAATCCAAGGCCACCCAGAGATAGCAGGTTGTAGTAGGTGATCTGGACACCAAATTCCAGAATCACAACCCCACAAGTCACCAAGGCCTGTTCTCTGGGCTTCTTGGAACATCTCTCGATCATGCCGAAGGCACATGCCAAGCCAAGTGGGACAATCAAAATTGTCCTGGCCGCGTCAAAGAGTTCCATCTCATCTTCATTGATATCCTTGTATCTTGGGCCAATCATGAAGCAGCAATGCACCAAAAGGCACAAGAGGATTTGGCAAAGGGTCGCTGTCCAGCACCGCTGCGCTGTGGATGACCACGAGCGGGTGCAATCTCTAAACTCTCTCACTGCTGCGTACATCTTTTGGAGCCAAAAAATGCCTCACAAGGTCAACAGGATGTCTTTCCTGTCACGAGATGACACAATTTTTACGTACAGTCCACAAGTCCAGTGCGGTAAAGCCAATCAGAAACCATTCTCCTTGGAATCCCCATAGTTCTCCAGTTCTCCCCATAGTTCTCATTGAATCTCCTCATTTTCCAGGCCTTGAGATCCGAATCATCCCCAGTGGTGGTGAAGTCCAGGTCCCTTCCGAAGACCACCTGCCGCGTGGGAAGCTACGAGAAAACACACATTTTTTGGGTTGGGGGAGGTATAAACTCAAACCTTCGGGACATTGCCCTAACCAATCAAGATGGGAACTTGACTTGCTTTATGGTGCGGTAAACGATCAAACCAAAGGTCGAAAAGACTGGACTTCACCAAGGTGGCTGCCTCAATAGCTCAAGAGTTTCTGCTAAAATCAACCAAGATGGGGATGCGACCAAAAATGAATGTCGGACAATGGAACCCAGAAATATCACCATGTCACCTAAGAAAAATTTGCTTTCCAGGCCATTTTAGGGATTTCATTTTTTGGCCCAACAGATCCATCCTGTGATTCAGAAAGGGTTTAATCCCAATTCCAAGAGTCCGAACCCTCAAGAGTAGTAGGGGAATGTCATTGGGATAAAGTGGGAATATCACTATACTTGAGGCCGGGGGTGGATGACGAAAGCTAGTGGGGTAGGAGAAAGAAGGAAGGGAAGACGTATCTTCAATGACGATGACGATGACAATGGCGAAGACAATGACACTGACAATGACGATGATAATGATGATGATGATGATGATGATGATGATGATGATGATGGTGATGATGATGATGATGATGGTGATGATGATGGTGATGATGATGATGATGGTGATGATGATGCTCATGATGATGATGCTCATGATGATGATGATGCTCATGATGATGATGATGCTCATGATGATGATGCTCATGATGATGATGCTCATGATGATGATGCTCATGATGATGATGCTCATGATGATGATGCTCATGATGATGATGATGATGATGATGATGATGATGATGATGATGATGATGATGATGATGATGATGATGAAGCGGATGCGGCATATGATCGGGATGATGATGATGAGGAGGAGGAGGATGATAAGGATGAGAAGAAGAAGAAGAAGATGATGATGATGATGATGACGACGATGATCATGATGATGATGATGATGATGATGATGATGATGATGCTCATGATGATGATGATGATGATGATGATGATGGTGATGATGATCCCGATGACGAGAACGATGCCAATGACGATGACGATGACGAAACCGATGACGATGACGATGATGACGATGATGACGATGATGCTGATGATGGTGATGGTGGTGGGGTTGGGGGGGAAAAATCACGTGATGTCCTTGAGCAGCCCCCGGAATACTTTCTAAAGCAAGAAGACTCCAGCTAGCTGACGCTAGCTTTCGTGATAACCCACTTAAATTATGAGTCATCAGAGTCATGTATGTTTTTCTCTCCATTTCCTAGCCCCTTCACTGGTTTGCCTACATCGAGCAACTGCCTCACTTGGGTCTCTCACAGCTCACTGAGAAGTTGTCTTGCTTCCTCTTCAGCTCTTCAATTTTCCACTCTCTGAGAATGTCTTTGTCTCAAAGGAGATATCCAGATGGTATCCACTCTCTGGGGTTTTTAGGGATCTTTAGGGCAGTTGTCCAAGTTGTCCAATCTAATGGTGAAACTGATGATCAACCCACAGGCACTCTGGTGCAAGGTCCCACAGGACTCACCTGGTCCACGCGAGAGGACTGGGCACCGATACCGGCATACCTCGAGGCTATGTACAGACGACATCTCAGTTTCCCAGAAGAATTGGTCCAATAGCCTATTGCATTGATTCCTTGCAAAAAAAAACTGTGCCTATACATTCATTGTTATTTGCCGGTATCCCAAACATTGTTGTGTCCCTCATTGATATCCAACCCCATCATGGCTACAAATCGTATACTAAGAATGGATTGTTAAACACTCAAAGTGACAGGTGTGTGCCCATTGTAGGCCCATCTTAAAATATCAATTTGTTGGGTAGAAAATCCCCATATCACCCAGATCCCCATATCATTGCCTGAATCCCCCAAAAAATAGTATCCCATTGTTTCTTAGGTGTTAAATTGGTTAGATGGTTAAATTGGTTAGATGCCTATCATTGGAAACGGTCAAATCCCCCAGATCTCTGGAGACCCAGCTAACCTAGCTAAACCACCTCAGGGATCTGTCACCGTCGTCGCTATTAGTAATCAACTAGACGACGGATGGCCCGAGAGCGTAGAGGAGCAGAGTCTTCTGTTGTTAGTATGGAGACACGATATTACTATATTACAAGACAATATATTAAAGATGTATTATAGGCAGACGAGAAGAGTAGTATCAAGACAATATATCAAACGCAAGACAATAGTTTTCATCGTATCTTTCGTATAGTTTTTCACACACAGAACTTTTTACAGACAGACGCTTTTGCACACAGAGACGTTTACACACAGACGCTTTTACACACAGACGCTTTAACACACAGACGCTTTTGCACACAGGCACTTTTACGCACAGACGCTTTCACACACAGACGCATTTACACACAGACGCGTTTACACACAGAAGCTTTTACACCAAAAAGCTTGTACACACAGAAGCTTTTACACACAGACGCTTTTACACAAAAACGCTTTTACACACAGATGCTTTTACACACAGATGCCTTTACACACATAACCCTTTACTCACAAACGTTTGTACGCGCAGATGCTTTTACCCACAGAGACTTTTACACACACAGACGCTTTTACACACAGACGCTTTTACACACAGACACTTTTGCACACAGACGCTTTTCCACACAGACGCTTTTACACACAGAGACTTTTACACACAGACGCTTTTACACACAGAGACTTTTACACACAGACGCTTTTACACACAAAAGCTTTCACACACAGACGCTTTTACACACAGACGCTTTTACACACAGACGCTTACAGACACTTTTACACACACAGACGTTTTTACACACCAACGCTTTTCACACACAGAGACTTTTACACACAAAAGCTTTTACACGCAGACGCTTTTACACACAGACGCTTTCACACACAGAGACTTTTACACACAGACGCTTTTACACACAGAGACTTTTGCACACAGACATGTTTACACACAGAAGCCTTTACACACAGACGCTTTTACACACAGACGCTTTTACACATAGAAGCTTTTTACACACAGACACTTTTACACACACAGACGTTTTTACACACCAACGCTTTTCACACACAGAGACTTTTACACACAAAAGCTTTTACACGCAGACGCTTTTAAACACACAGACGCTTTCACACACAGAGACTTTTACACACAGACGCTTTTACACACAGAGACTTTTACACACAAAAGCTTTTACATACAGAAACGAAAGGGCTGCGACCAGATGCGAGAAATCGCAATTTTACCTCAGTTTTTGGCGATCGAACCTCATTTCGTGCGAAAGGGTTGCGTTTCGTGCCGTCTCGTTGGCACTGCCCTGCGCCTTCAAGAGAGTAATAGAAAAGAAAGAGAGAGCAAGAGGGCAAGAGAGAATGTGAAGATGTGAAGATGTGATGTGAAGATGAAAAGATATGAAGATGAGAAGATGTGAAGATGTGATGTGAAGATGAGAAGATGTGAAGATGAGAAGATGAAGAGGGCAAGAGAGAATGTGAAGATGTGAGGATGTGAAGATGTGAAGATGAAAAGATGTGAAGATGAGAAGATGTGAAGATGTGATGTGAAGATGAGAAGATGTGAAGATGAGAAGATGAAGAGGGCAAGAGAGAATGTGAAGATGTGAGGATGTGAAGATGTGAAGATGAAAAGATGTGAAGATGAGAAGATGTGAAGATGTGATGTGAAGATGAGAAGATGTGAAGATGAGAAGATGAAGAGGGCAAGAGAGAATGTGAAGATGTGAGGATGTGAAGATGTGAAGATGAGAAGATGTGAAGATGAGAAGATGTGAAGATGTGACGTGAAGATGAGAGGATATGAAGATGAGAAGATGTGAAGATGTGAGGATGTGAAGATGTGAGGAATTGTGAGGATGTAAGGATGTGAAGATGTGAAGATGAGAGGATGTGAGGATGTGAAGATGAGAAGATGTGAAGATGTGAGGATGTGAAGATGAGAAGATGTGAAGATGTGAGGATGTGAAGATGAGAAGATGTGAAGATGTGAGGATGTGAGGATAAGAAGATGTGAAGATGTGAAAATGTTTGACAGACCCCCACTATTAGAAGAACCCTTCGCTCAGACGCTCTCCGGGAAAAAAAAAGTGATTTACCAGGTTTACCACTTTTGGAGTGGGATTAGTACATGTCAATATGTGCCAATCTGGTGATTAACAACCATTTTTGGTAGGATTCCTATGCCAATCTTTTTGGGGATGGGAATGACATTTTTTTCCATCCCTGGCCTCTTCACACCTCGCCGCTTCTTGCCGCGGCTCAGCGCCGCTTCAGCGGCGGGGTGCAGCGGCAGCGCCTTCTCACAGCTGAGGTCCTGGACGATGGGAGCCAGGTTTTGACGGAAAAAGTGAAGATTTCTACCGCAAAAATGGGAATTGTGAGCCATCTAATAGAATTTGTAAGCCATCGAACCGAGAGCCGTCTGATGGAAAAAAAATCTAAGCCATCTAACCCCATCACCACCCAATAAGCCATCGTCAGAGCGAAACTGGAAATTGTGAGCCATCTAACCACCCAATCAAAAGGACATGTCAGAGATTTTACCTGCAAATTTTGTGGGGGATGCAGCAAAAATGTGTATTGAAGACCACCCAAAGAAGTTCTGATTGAACATCCAGAGCTTGTGAACCAAAAAAGCACAACAGTTGGCAATGGGGGCAACAATGTTCAAAAATGGGCGCTTTCCCAACCATCAATAGGGATTCAATCAGGGTAAGCCGGCAGACACATCGTGGGGCCCAAAAACCTCCGCTCCTCAGCCGTGGGATTCAGAGGCATGGCGTTGCGGATTTTCGTGTCATGTTCCTGGCAGTGGCAGCCACAGGAGCGCCCACCCCAGATAAAAATGCAGGATCTGTTCAAGGGGAACATGTAAAGGAAAGCAGAGTTTTTACATTGAAATAAAAGTGTTTCCTTTAGATTTTCCCTTCAACCAATTCTGGGAAGCTCGAATGTTTGTGTAGGTGTCTATGATATGCTAATGTGATATATTATATGTGCACATGCACGCACAGAATCTGGACATGCACACACACTTGAAAGGCCGATATCCCTCATGAGTCTTGATGCACCCTGGTCATATCGGAAATCGGAAATTGTCAGACATAAAAACGGTATATACAGGGCAACTCGCTGAAGAAACGCAGGAGTCTTTGAAATGTGAAATTTTCGAGACACACATGCACATGTATAGTTAGGCCAAGACCAGGAATCGTACCTTTTGCTTAAAATCGTACTTTTCGGGTCTGGGAGAGGATCCTGGTATGTATACATATACAATGGTCTGAATCTCCAAGCTGGGTATTCCAATTTTTCTCACCTTGGGGCAGCCCATTCCCTCACGTCTGGTCAACATTGGTCAACTTGGTGCAATTTATGTTTCGTATACATGATTTATCGCAAAACAGAGGAAACCACCAACCAGTTTTTTTTGCGTTCAACCCCTCGCTTTGCATTTACAAGGGGCACTTCCCGACCGGCAAGACTCCCTCAGTTTGAGTATGCCATTTCTTGATCGACTGTCAAATCTGACAGCCTGCAAAATTTTAAAAGGGGTCCCCCCAAGTAGATGTCATCATGATGATGTCATACAACAAATAGTTTAAATTCCAAATTATGGGAACCATTCATGTGCGCAACCCACTAGCACTAGCTGGCGCACCACCCAGCCAGCGACAGTCTCGTTATCTTCCTTGCTCCTTGGGCCAGCGAATGTTGGTAGAAAAACCCTTCACCAGCAGGTGACAGTCACAAGAAGCAGGGTAGTCAACTGGCATATTCACTCAAGAACTTGCAAGATTGACCAACAAAAATGGCCAGACATATTCCCTACCCAAACTCGGGATATTCAAGAAAAAATTAGAATATATCTACCATATCCACCAGCAAAGAAATCCTTGAAAACCTTGGTTTTTCCTATGGTTTTTCTCCAACAGATAGCTTGGGCCACCGGACGAGCCGAAGGTGCTTGGCCCGCTGGGTGCCTTCGGTGGACTGCTGCGGCCTGGGAGGATCAGAGAAGCTAAGATTGAATCAGATTAGACTGGAGAACAGTACATTCTAAGAATGAGCTGGAATAGATAGATGGATTGGATGGATGGATCGATAGATAGACGGATCGATGCATAGATGGATTGGATTGGATGGATGGATAGATAGACGGATCGATGCATAGATGGATTGGATGGATCGATAGATAGATAGATGAATGCGATAGATAGACGGATCGATGCATAGATGGATTGGATGGATCGATAGATAGATGAATGCGATAGATAGACGGATCGATGCATAGATGGATTGGATTGGATGGATCGATAGATAGTCGGATCGATGCATAGATGGATTGGATGGATCGATAGATAGATAGATGAATGCAATAGATAGACGGATCGATGCATAGATGGATTGGATGGATCGATAGATAGATAGATAGATGAATGCGATAGATAGACGGATCGATGCATAGATGGATTGGATGGTTCCATAGATAGATGAGTGCGATAGATAGACGGATCGATGCATAGATGGATTGGATTGGATGGATGGATGGATGGATAGATAGATAGATAGATAGGTAGATAGGTAGATACATACATACATACATACATAGATAGATAGATAGATAGATTAGTTAGATAGTTAGACAGATAAATAAATAAGATAAGAAAAGATAAGGTAAGGTAAGATAAGATAAGATTAGATTATTGAAGATTAGACTAGATAGATAAGATAAAAAAAGATAAGATAGATAAGACAGATAAGGCAGATAAGACAGATATGACAGATAAGATAGATAAGAAAGATAAGATAGATAAGAAAGATAGATAGATTAGATAGATAGATAGATTGGATAGACTAGATAGATAAGATAGATAAGATAGATAAGATAGATAAGACAGATAAGGTTGATAAGATAAGATAGATAAGATAGATAAGATAGATAAGATAGATAAGATGGATAAGGTGGATAAGATGGATAAGATGGATAAGATAGATAAGATAGATAAGATAGATAAGATGAGGTAAGATAAGATAGATAGATAGATAGACAGACAGACAGATAGATAGATAGAGAGATAGATAGATAGATAGATAGGTAGATAGAAAGATAGATAGAAAGATAGATAGATAGACGGATAGATAGATAGATGGATAGATGGATAGATGGATAGATAGATAGATGGATAGATGGATAGATAGATAGATGGATAGATGGATAGATGGATAGATGGATGGATGGATAGATAGATAGATAGATAAGATTAATTAGTTAGTTTGTTAGTTTGTTTGTTAGATAGATAGATAGATAGGTAGGTAGATAGACAGAGAGACAGATAGACAGATAGACAGATAGACAGATAGACAGATAGCCAGGTAGGTAGGTAGATGGATAGATGGACAGATGGATGGATGGATGGACGAATGGATGGATGGAGTGATAGATAGATAGGAATAGATAGGAATAGATAGGAATAGATAGGAATAGATAGGAATAGATAGGAATAGATAGGCATAGATAGGAATAGATAGGCATAGACAGGAATAGATAGGAATAGACCGGGATAGATAGGAATAGATAAGAGTAGATAAGAATAGATAAGAATAGATAAGAAAAGAATAGAAGAGAATAGAATAGAATGGAATAGAATAGAAGAGAACAGAACAGAACAGCACAGAATAGATAAGAATAGAATAGAACAGAACAGAATAGAATAGAATAGATAGATAGACAGATAGATAGATAGACAGATAGACAGATAAACGGACAGACAGATAGACAGATAGACAAATAGACAAGTAGACAAATAGACAGATAGATATGTAGATATAGGTAGATATAGGTAGATATAGGTAGATATAGGTAGATTCGAAGAATACATAGATAGGTAGGAGATATGAATATGCATCTGTCACTTATCTATGAAAATAATATACCTAGCCGAGCCAATCAGAATGAAACAATCCTGGTTGTCAGTGACACGCAGATATGCGCGCGTCACCACCTTTGGGTTTTCATCAACTCCTGGGTGCCTGGCTACGCAGGAGCTTGGGCACATGCAAGGGCTCTCTCTCACCCCTGCAGTTCTTCAGTAGTTTCCAGTTTCAGTTCCAAGATTCTGGTGCAGTTGAAACATTCGATCCAGAAGTTTTGTTTGGCGAGTTCTGCCCAAAATCTGAATCAAGATTCAACAAAAAGCCAAGCAGAAAAAATGACTCCGAGGATCACACTTGGAGGGAAGGAGATCCTCAGAGGTCAGAGGGTTTCCAAAGAGACCCGCAAGTTAGATACTTTCAAAGCAGAAAATATTCGAAATTGTCCACCTAATCTATTTTTTGGGGTTACAGCAGACAAAAAAAGGTGTTAAAACGAAAACAAAACTGGAAAGTTGAATGCTTCGGACCTGTAAACCACTGAAGTCCTCACGAGAAAACTAGGTTTGGTTTGCGTTTTTAAAACCACTTGCCATCATCTATTGTTTGGTCGCAGGTCAACACCTCTTTCCTGGAATGCCCTGGACCTAGCAGTGTTTGGCTTCGCCGAAGGTCCAACGAGTCCAGCTTCTTGTGTCGCTCTTTCGAGGCACCACCGGCACCACCTGGGCCGGTCAGCGTGAAGTCATGTAAATAGCTGGGGGATGAGACCCATACCTATAAACATATGTAAATATTGTAATATCTATCTATAATATATATATATATGCGTGTATATATATATGTGTGTGTATATATAATTTATATATATATATATATATACATTTGATATGTGAATATACATTAGTCGGTCATAATTCTGGTTATAGTTATAATTTATAATCAACTTACAAACTTGGAGAGGGGGGAATGAAAATCAAGATTTGGCTGCAGATCGAGCGAGGGGGAGGAATGATTGTTCAAGCCATGGGATGGATTGGTGGAAGCAATTTGCTTCTTTTTCCAGGCGAGTCCTCCAACCTTTTTGTGACCCGAGTTTTTAACTTATGTCACCACCCCGACGAAGGGAATCTTCATCTCGACTGCATGGCTACAGCCTCTCCATCAGTTCCAGATCAGCAGCAACAGATCTTCTCGGAATCTGCGGCTCTGCATCATCCCAAGTCTAACTTCTGGATGAATCCCCCATCGACAAATATGCAGTTCCTGCCTTCCCAGGGGCGGTCGGAAGGCGATTGGAAGGTAAACTCTGAAAAAGAAAATAATCTTCGGTGGTATCCCCAACAGCCACAACATTTCATATTTACAAATCTTTCTGAAGCGTGCTGCGAAGCCAAGCGCTGGAAACACCTCAGCTAGGTTTCCGTGAGTTAAATGAACCTCACCTGGTTTGGCTTCTGCAACCTTCTCCGAAACCAATGAACTTGACTTGGCTTTGCACCAAGGCTTCCTGGAACCTTCTCCGAAACCTTCTCCGGAACCCTGTTGAGCCTGCCTGGCTCTGCACCAAAGCCTCCCAGACCTTCTCCAGATCTGTTGAACCTGACCTAGCTCTGCGCCAAAGCCTCCAGGAACCTTCTCCTCTGGAACCCTGTTGAAACTAACCTGCCTCTGCACCAAAGCCTCCCACACCTTCTCCGGAACCTTCTTCGGAACCCTGTTGAACCTGACCTGGCTCTGCACCAAAGCCTCCCAGGCCTTCTCCGGAACATTCTTCGAAACCCTGTTGAACCTGACCTGGCTCTTTCTCTGGAACCTTCTCCGGAACCCCGTTCAACCTGACTTGGCTTTGGGCTTCCTGGAACCTTCTCCGGAACCTTCTCCCGAACCCTGTTGAACCTGCTCTTCACCAAAGCCTCCCGGAACCTTCTCCGGGAACCTTCTCCGGAACCCTGTTGAACCTGACCTGGCCTGGCTCTGCACCAAAGCCTCCCGGAACCTTCTCCAGAACCTTCTCCGAAACCCTGTTGAACCTGACCTGGCCTGGCTCTGCACCAAAGCCTCCCGGAACCTTCTCCAGAACCTTCTCCGAAACCCTGTTGAACCTGACCCGGCTCTGCACCAAAGCCTCCCAGACCTTCTCCGGAACCTTTTTCGAAACCCTGTTGAACCTGACCTGGCTCTGCACCAAAGCCTCCAGGAACCTTCTCCGGAACCTTCTCTGGAACCCTGTTGAAACTGACCTTGCTCTGCAACAAAGCCTCCCGGTCTTCTCCGGAATCTTCTCGGAACCCGTTGATCCTGACCTGACTCTGCACCAAAGCCTCCCGGACCTTCTCCGGAACCTTCTCCGGAACCCTGTTGAACCTGACCCGGCGCCTGCACCAGTGCACACCGGAGCTATTCTGGGCTGAAGACCCCATTAGCTTACGCTGTTGGGGAAAAAGAAAACAGTCACTGCAGCCCTACAAAAAAATGTCTTGGCGGATATAATTCTTAATCACGTTGATCTCAGCTTTGAAATACTGAATTCGCAAAACTCACATCTCAAACACAAAAAGCATTACGAAACACACCACCCTATTCGTTGCAAACAACACCGGAGTCCTTTAAGTACAGAGAAAAACTCCAATAGATCTTACATTGTTTGCCGATCGGCAAAAATGCACTGCTTGCAAAATGGTTTGCAGCTGGATATTGAACGTGACCACCAACAAACAAGTTTTGGTGCGGCTCCCTGTATGTAAACTGGCATGTAAGATCACAGTCCCTAAAGAAGTGAAACGTGATTTCTCACAGGAACACCCATCTTCCAATTTTTTTGGAGAGTTCCAGGTCTTCACAATGACCGCACAGTTGCTTTCAAACCATCTTGACCCAAAAAGAAAAAGAAGAAAAAATAAGGCCCAGAACCCAGAGTGACCCCAACGGAACTAAGAACACAACAACAATGCATGAACATCCTGAAACGTGCATTAAAATACTCGAAAATGCAAAAAATAACGTGTAAAACATGCATGGGCACTATGGACCTTGCATAAAAATTCATGTAAATGATTTCTGATAACTTTCTATAAACATTCATGAAACTGCGCAAGCACTGCAGAAAATGCCATAGATAAGGCACAGAAAGTGCAAAGAACTGAACTAACATTTGATTTTAGAATTAGGCAGCATGTAATTACATGGAAGCTATGCATGAGAATTACATCAGCATGCCTCAAACTGTGCGTCAAAACTGCATGAAATACACACGAAACTTGCATTAAGAAAAATCATTCAAGTCATTTTGAAAGGATATATGCATACAGATATATATATATATATATATTGTGTATATATATATCATGTATATATCTATATATATATATGGTCTCGTGTTCCGTGTTCCTCCCCCCCCCTATGGTATGGGTCCCCAGGTAGCACCCCATTCCCTTCTATTTGCAAGCCATTGGCAGCATTTCTGAGGTCCAGCCAGGTATTCGCTAGGATTTTTGCAGAGATTCTGACTACCAGCCTCGCATTTACTAGGTACATGCTACCTTTTAGACGAGCTACGTAGCACACATACTCCCTCAAAGTACCTACGTGCTACCTATAGTTGCATATACACGTGCTATGTATCTTCTTCACATATACATATACATATACATATAAATATATATATATATTACCCACACACACATATTTATATATATATATATACATATACATATATAATTATATATATATACACATACATAAATATATATATATAAAGAGTTACACCCTCGCCTCTTTTTATAGTCGACTCCGCAGCAATTTGTTAAAAAGGAAAGAGACAATTCCCGTCTCTGTTAAGTCAAACATATCAAATACACGAGGAATAGTGCCTGGCCTAACCCACAGCACTATTTGGCAATCTACTTGGCGAGAACGAGCCAAACCCACCTACTCACCAAGTCTAGATCACCAAGACAAACAAAAACGAACCGTACGGAGGAAAAAACGAGAAATAAAACCGAAAGACCTTAATTGAGCGCTTTGCACCTTTTGGTGGTCCTTTTCTGGACCTTTGCTTTGGTCTCTTTCCACGGCCCCCTGTCCTTCCTGGTACAGGAGGCTCAAGTGAAACCAGAGTGAGACGAGTGCATTGTTGGTGCCAGATACGAAGAAAAGGAGAGAGAGAGGGACGGGAGGGGGGGAGAGAAAGTTCAGCAAGAATAGACAAGCCTTCGTTGATATAAATTCTGGCAGTTCTAGCTGCTTGCCAACGTCCTTGTAAAAGGATCTTATCCAGGGAGTGGTGGCGAGCAAACCACCATGTTGCTCCTCCCCGTCGCAAGCTGTATGGACGAAAACCAAAATCCATAAGCTCCAAGGCCTGCAAGGCTTCATTGAACTTTGCTCTCCAAGAGGCAGGATTCTTTGCCAAAGGTGTAGAATCCTTTGTCAGAGTCTTCCAATGCTGTACGATGCGAACCACCACATCATAGCCAATTACAGCAGACTCAGCTGCCCCCTGGCGTTTACCCCCTTTGGTGAGACCTAAAGACATGACAATAGTGGATTGTCCCGGTTCACACAAAATTTGAGATGCACGGAGGTCATGTATTTCTCCAGTTCGGAGCATACCATAGAAACCCAGAAGAAGGGAAACCCCAAATGTGAAGTGCTGGTGGAAGAACGCCCATCCCACCATTGCATGTAGGACGTGTGCAGGAAGCGGAGGTGCGCGGTTGGGTATTTCCTGCTGCCCCCACGTCTTAAGGAGCCGCCAGGCTCCCAAGAGATGCCCCTTCAGGCGGATGTCAGAATCCTGTAACCCCGCTACCGTGTCACTGGCGAGGGCACGACCGTACCCTTCTGCCCAAAGGTGCTCCAGGTATTCACAAACCAGCGGGTCAAGGAGGTTTCGTTGTTTGGGTAATTGCAAGTCATTGTTGCGTAAGAAGGCGAGGAAGGCGTCAATTGCTCTCGTATATCGTACTTTTGTAGCTGGCTGGACGGTCAAGTCTTGAAGTGTCCCAAGTCGTTGTCGTGTCTCTTTGCGTGCGGCCTGCGTAGCTCCTTCGAGGTGCCTCTTAGGCATTCCTAAATTTGGTTCGTATTCGGGTACCCCACCGGCTGGGCCGGTCCGCGGGGTTCAAATCCGTCCGAACATAGCCCCACAGGGCCTGATTAGAGCTACATAGCAGCAACGCATTGATTCGTGACAACGTGGAACGCAACTTTCGACTTGATGACCGTCCCCTGGCCAGGGAATGCAACACCACAAGCGAGTCCACTAGATGCAGGCAACGTGAACCAACCATACGCTTGTGGCACACCCTCCACTTCAAGGTGGTGAGAACGGCCCTCATTTCCAGAACGTTGATGTGTTCCTGAGCTCCCCTCCATTTCCACCCTGAAACAATTCGCCACTTCCAGAGGCGAGGTGGAATTGAGGAGCGTAAACGGTGGAACTTCACCAACTGGCTAGAGGGGGTAGAGAGCATGATGTCATCGCCTTTGACACTGATTAAATTGCCGAGTTGGGCGACCAATGTCCTATTTTCCTGAGGTGCGTCACCTCGCAGAGGCCGCAGCGGCGCCCGCCACAGCCGGGTCTGCAAGAAAACCTGTTGCTCTGGATCCAAAAAATTCACAATGTCCTGAGGTGTGTATCTGGGACAAAGACCCAGTGGGCCACACAATTGACCAAGGAACCAGCTGACCACTGGTACACTCCATGTATTGCCAATGAGGCTGTGACGTAGGTCCAAATGCTCTGTGGTGCCACGAAGCCTCTTTGGAACGCAAGGAAGGGTATAGTTAATGGGAAATCCCATGATGTACTCCTTTTCCTCAATGTCTGGAAGACGCAATCTGTTGCGTTTGTTGATGAGCAGGTTTTTGGTTGTATACTGATAGGGTGGATATCGGAAGTTATCCATCTCCCATCTGCGCACCTCATCCGGAGTGCACGTCTTGAGTCCTGCTGGCTTGTACCCTGGATGGTCCCTAGGTCTAGACGTAGTGAATGTCGGAAAGGAACGTTCGGGCGTTACCTTAATCCAACCTTCCTTGCAGACCTGCTCCAAATCCTGACGCGCATGCAGCGTCACCCGGCCAGGAGCGCCCGTGCTCCCCGGTTCCAAGCAGACACCGTCTTGCTCGGCCAGTTCCCAGCTGATCCAGTACAGACGAGGTCGGTGGCACCAAGTCAGGGTTCCAGCGTCACAGATCCATGGCTGATCCCCAAATTCTTGGCTCATCACCGCACGATCCTCCTCGTCCATGGAAGCAACG